GCCACCCGGCTGTCAATAATACTGCCACCCGGCTGTCAATAATATTATGTATTTTTGATCATATCTAAGCAGCCGCTTGAGATCCAGCACTCATATTTAAACTGTAACTAGTACTAGGTAAGATCTTTACTCAGATTGTATTAGCTCAAAAATTGTCCAGCAGACTTTCTTGTGAAGCCACATAGCCATCCATCATCCATATCCCTAGGCATCATCAGCAAATGCTTTATGTGAATTCAGATATCAAGCCACTGAAGCAACGTTAGTGCATGGATGTATTTGCTCAAATCCGACCGGATCATGTAATGAAGTGAGCAGAAGTCGTTCATATCAACTCGAAAATGTTATCCAACGACGTGCCCAAAAGGATCTCGTCTATTGTTATAGTCTACAGTATAGCTCGTCGAGTCGTTTCGGTGAAGAGGTTTTCAAGAAGTGATTTTTTATATTATTCATTAGTATTTTTGTGATTCGTTTTCACTCACAGCTGCTGCTTTTTGTTTGTTTGTTTGTTGGCTTGTTTGAATTTCATTTTGTGCTGGTTGAGCCATGCATTCCACAAAATCAGTGGATATTTTGACTTGGATTTGAAACCGGATTTGGATTTGTGGATTTGAAATTTGTGGATGGATTTGTGGAAAAAAAGTGGATTTGAAACCGATCTAAACCCCCATCTATCTGATCACATCTAGAAAAGTATTCTTTCTGTCCTCGCATTCTATCTAAAAATCAAAAAAAAAACAAACAAGAACACAATCGCTTACAGCTCAGGAACATGTGAAGGGCAATACTGTTTTGTTTCGTTGACAACATCTGAACTGACGGTTGAAGCGGCAACGAGCCGTTTCGATTCTAGTGAAATACTCCAATCAGCAGCAGATCACAAGGCGGCGGCTGCTCAAGGGTCGTCTCATTCTAGACGAGGTCTGTCTGATCAAGTATTTCAGTGGCTGATCATCAATGTGATCATCATGTGTGCTCGTTTCATTTCTAGTATTATTCTCTTGACTTTTGTACTAGTAGAGCAGCAGCAGTTCGGTTGGTTGTTTGTGTTTTCTTTTCAATAGTTTCATTTTTAGAGTACATTGGAATGAGTCGACAACAATACGAAATAGTGGCTGGTTGTTTAAAAGTTGATGATGACAATGTGAGTGCTTACTCTTAGTGCTGCTGCCGCTTTTATTTGTTTTATATAGTCATTTTTGTGGTGTCCAGTTTTGGCTTTTATTCGTTCGTATTTGTTTTGTTCCATTCATTTTTATTATATATTTGTGTCTAAGTAATGTTACAAACGTTTAATAGCCTGGCCAATCCAGGTAATTATCCAGGTAATTATGCAGGTAATTTGTATCAAACTAAATTTACTCGGTAAAATTTTTGTGTATTTTTAGAAGGTAAACGTTGGCTGTACAATCGAATACGCGAAAAATATCAGTGAGCCGTTGTTGAAGCATTGTATCTGTGCAACGCATTTGTGTAATTTCTACACTGAACTCTTTCCGAATGCTCGTTCGAATTTGACGTCGTTATCAAATCGTACGCCTCTCTCTGTTGCTCTCGACAATACTTCAGGTAGTTCGTGAACTGCTGCCTGCTTGGACAAAAGAGCTGACTGATCTTTGGAGTTAATTTAATGCGCGCGCTTACAATCATTTCATACTAATTAATTGACGTTAATTAGTTGACGTGACGTGACGTTATCTTTGATTCATTGTTCACCTTTTATATTTTGTGTTTGTTCGATTTGGTTTGATTAATCTAATTAATTACTTGTTATTGAAGGAGCAAAGTTATCGTTAACGTCCTCCAGTAAGCACACGGCCGCATCATCCTCATCGCTCAATCGGACAAAACACTCATTACTGAATGCATTCATCATTGTTTTGCTCAGTAATCTGCTCAAAATTTCCAATTGAAAGTCTATCAGAACACGCATCTTATCGTAACAGCCATTGTACATTTGCATGTTGTAAGTTAATTATTGTACTTTTTCGAATTATTGTGTTTGAATGTTACTTATTATATTACTTATATTTGGATAAACTCATGAATTGTTCAAGTGAATATGAATATGAATATACTTGCGAGTTATTCGTGACTAAAACTTAAAACTTTATAAAATGCTTTCACACATAACTACAAGCGCTTTCAATTCAAAGCCACAGCCACAGCCATAGAACAGACGCGAAAGATCACTCACATCGAGTGTGATCTTTCAAAAAAAATTCAAAATCAATCAATCAATTTATCACACATTACATAAACATATGCACACCTGTATTAATGGCAAAAACAATGGCTGGCTGATCACAGTCTATCCGGAAATGGCTGGCTGATCACAGTCTATCCGGAAATGGCTGACTGATCACAGTCTATCCGGAAATGGCTGGCTGATAGTACTGATCTAGTGACGACAATCACAAAAATTCCAATGATGTGATCTGATGTAGTTGTTGTAGTAGTAATTTATGTCTCATTTCAGTGGTGATATGAAATACTCTCGCTCTTGAATAATTGGTACTTAATGCTACATTCCATGCATGCTCACTTATTTTACGAAGAATTTTAAACATTCTTGTTGTATCATTTCTAGTCTCTGATGTTATTATTATTATTATTATTATTATTATTATTATTATTATTATTGTTATTATTATGTTGTATAATAATTACTCACTTATGTGCACATTTATGTATCTATATTCATTTATTTATCTACTATCAATATTCCGTGCGTGCTTTATAGATCACATGCATAGTGTGTGTTTATTGTTAGTATTGAAAGGACGTGGTGGTGCTTGAGTGATTAAGATTGATATGGTGATATAGTGATTATTGCTTGATAGACTCTAATCTGCTTATACTAATCGGCTGATATCAAGCATTATTATCATACCGCTGTGATTGATTGTCATTTAATGCTGGCTCTATCCGGGTTTGCTCCGGAAAACTGAGTTGCTGCAGTCTTATTTGTCTATGTTATTATAAACATTTTAGTGATAAGGTTTTATCAGTTGGTGCATTCCAGTCACACCTTATCAGCAGCGATGGCGTTTGTCGATGTGCGGCGACGGCGGCGGCGGCATATATGGATGGATTTGATTTGATTGTGTACTGATAATGAATGATAAACGACACGTTTGGGTGATTGCTGGTTGATTCAGTTTTGGACGTGGGCGCTTGCTTTATCATGCTTGTTCTCGTTACTTAGCATCGATATTGTATGTGATTCGTTTAGTCATTATTTGTCATAATTTGTCATTATGTCATAATTTGTCATTATGTCATAATTTGTCATTATGTCATTATTTGTGTGTCATTTATTATGTGATTTGTATTCGCAAATCTTTCTGCGTTGACTGCTTAGCCATGGATAGATAACTGAGTTGGTAGAGCGAGCTGCTGCGTTTGCTTTCACTGAAAAAGTTTTTCAAAATTTCACCAAGCCATAATATTCTTCACCAATTAGATTAATTAATTAGTAATCAACAGTAATTAGCGCTTTGATTCGACGATATTTTTCGATAAGTGTAGTGTATTGAATGTTTATTTTATTTTATTTTTTGCTTAAACATTTTAAAATGACCAATTAATTGACCAATTTTATTGACCAATTAATTAATTAATTAATTTAATTGACCAACCAAGATGACCAATTTTATTAATTCATTTTCAGAGTTGCAATCGAATCAAAGCATCGATTGTTCAAATTCTTTGTTATTTATCAATTCATTCGTCACTTTTTGTGTTTTGTTTTCTATGTTTTATGTGCTGCAAATATTTATCATACTTTTAAGGTTTATCGCTTATATAACCATCAAATAAATTCACAGCTCAGCAATATGTTCTCTTCACTGCTGTTTGCAGTTGAAATTGTTTACGAGTTGAACTAATTAATCTAATTGCTTGATTACTAATTAATTAATCTAATTGGTTCATTACTAGTGTTCTAGGTTGGTGTGCACAACACTACTCAAAAATGACAAAACATGTCGTCTATTTGTTTGCTTCATCCGGTAGAATTTTTACCATTCTCACTGCATCGTTGGTACTTTTAACAATTTGCATCCCGTTTACAGGTAGGTAATTAATAGTATTACTGTTATTGTTATTATTAGTAGTAGTATCGTTTTAACTACTGTGCAACAATAACACAGCACAGCACTTCGTGCTATGTTCTTGGTTGGGTTGGGTTGGGTTGGGTTGGGTTGGTTTGGGTTTAGCTGGATCAGAGGGATAGATCACATTAAAAAGTTTGTTTCCGAATTTATTCCGAATCAAATTTTTTTGTTTTGCTGTTGTTTTCATTGATTGATTGATTGATTGATTGGTTGATTGATTGATTGATTGATTGATTGAGTGTATTCAATTCAGAAGGAGCGCCAGCAGGAGTAAGTAAAGTGTTAGATGAGAAATTTCGATCATTGGAAGAGCAATTGCTAAATTTAAAACAACAAATCGAACAACAACAACAGCAGCAATACGTTGAGAGTAACAGCAACAATCAAAAATCAATGGTATTCGGTGATTCACTTCCAGAGCAACAATTTCATCAAGCGGCTGGAGCTGGAGCTGGAGCTGGAGCTCTACTACCTCTAACGCAACAACAACAACAACTCATGTCACAGGTCAGAATCAGAATCAATTAGTCAAGCGGCACTATATAGTGAGCAGAAAAATCACTAGTGAATAGAGAGAGGATTAATGGGGATGTTTTAATGGGGGTGTATGGATTAATGGATTAATGGGGATGTATGTTTTAAAGAAGAGTTTCAATATCTATCCGAATTCGGATATCCGACTATCCCAACGAATTATAGCGTGCTGGTTTGGCTGCAGCGGTTGCATTGCCTGAGTTAATGATGGCTTCTTCACAAGATGCTCAGGCGGCCGCCGCCGCCGCATTCGACTATAATAATGCCGCTGCTGCTGCTGATTATTCGACTGCTTTACAGCAGCCGTTCCCATCGCAATCCCAACTACAACAGCAAAAACGTTTAGTGTATTGGCAACCCATGAAGAAATCTGCAGATACTTCAAGAGAGCAATGTATGTGTTATTTGGCGCAGCGCATTAATCTAATTCTAAGCCATTAATCTAATCCACTGATCCTCTACTTTATCCCTTTATGCTGTTATGCGACAAGCAAATCGGATGGATAGATCGATCGCTTTCGAGAATAATGATTTTTACATTTTTAGTACTAAATTTTAATAGAGCAATCAAAATTAGTATTAAATTAGTAATCAATCAATATTAAGCTGCTGATCAATATTAAATTAATATTAGTAATTAAGTTAAATTATTGAATTGATATGATCGGAATAAATAGGAGTAATCAATCAATATTATTGTATGCATTCATTCATTTACACAATCGATAAGTTCAGATCAAAAGTATTTTTAGTGATTCGAGCTATTGAGAGTCGACTAGCTGAGGTTATACATGCTGGCGAGAAGCTGGGCATATCGGCCGATGAACTGCTGACACATCTGAAGATGCGAAATGCTATGGTACCTCGATAATACGTCTATCTATAATAATTATAATAATAGTAATAATATTTTTAATAATTATCCCAGTGTTCAGTTTTATACTAAATATCAAGTGTGATTATTATTATTATTATTATTATTATTATTATTATTATTATTAT